TAGAGCCAAAGATGTTAGAATTGTGTCGATGTCCCAATATTTCTGGACCTGACTGTAGATATTCTGCAGAGTTGAAGCGGGCAGCAACGTCAGACGTGGGGGTCTTCTTCTCTCCAAAGAGCTGTTCAGGGGAGTTAAAGGTTGGGGATTAGGGGCTGGCCTGTGATTGAGGTGTTTAACTTTCTCTTTCTTTTTCAAGTCCTTTTTCTGCAAGGTGGTGGCTCTGGCTGTTGCTAACAGGGATCTCCTGTTCCTGTGCAGTTGGGTAAGCATGAGTCTTGATGGTCTCCTAAGTTATCTCGTAGATCCTAGATCTTCTGGCGGTCTCCACTGTCTTTTCTCTGCCCCGTTTCCAAGAGGGCTTGTCTATATATTCTCCTCCTTATCTTAAACCCCAATTGAGGTGATGCGCCAACACAACCAGCTTCTCCTTCCTGTGGACTTGGTTCAGGTGGCCTTTCCTGCTTGGTTCGCAGGGTGAAATACATGGGCCTCTTCACTTACGTCCTCATTTTGAGCCTTGCGGGAATCCATTGCTGGCAACTGATTGGCGATCGCTCCTTGTCCAACGTAAGTCGGAAGATTCTGTAGGATATTGTCACTCTGGGATGGTGGGAGTTGATGTCCAGCCCTTCTGGAGAATCTTTGAATTCAGAATCAGGTGACTCTACTTTGAAGGAGCAGTTTTTCCTAGAACCTGTTAGGTAGAGGTTGCAATGAACATGCTTTTCCATACCAGTTTGATTATAAAATTGGGAATATTGGTAAGTTAAGTCAGATGCTAGGCTCTCTAACTTAGAGTTGAGCTGTCCTTTCCAAAGATTGATTGATTGATTGATTGATTGATTGATAGATAGAGATAGACTGATTGATTGATAGATTGATAGATTTCATTTTTAGTGCAGAAAACCCCTAAATTTTTATAATGGTTAAATGAACTAACCATAACAACAACAGCAAGTGATCAGAAAAAAAATATCTCTATAATATTCTATATGGAATTCATTCACGTACACTGCCCAGAATCCCCTTGTGTGAGAAGGGTGGCCATATATCTTTGATAAATAAATAAATCGGTTGTTAAGCTGCAATATAATGTGTCATCTTCTCATTTTTGGAGCACCAGAGCCTTTCCAAAAACAGGTCAACAACTTCTATCCTGGACCTGTGGCTTAAAATCAAGAGAGTGACTTGATTTGCAGTTCCATCAAATTGTTCTCTTCGCTGTACCCCGGGCGAAAGTTGACAGATTCCCTCTCTGAGGAACGTAGTTCAACATCAGATAGAGATATTTCTTCCCCAAGTGAGGTTGACCCACAGAGACTCAAATATTGTCCTGTAGGTTTTATCTTGGACAACCAGCGTGGTGGGCAGGGCAGAGCTGGAGCAGGATTGGCGTGACCCAGGTTCAAGTCAACCTTTAGTCATGGAAGCTACTGAGCTATCTTCAAATGGTGGCGCCAAGCCCTATCTATCTCTTGGGGCTGTGGTTGGGGGGCAAATAGGAAGAGGAGTGCTGTGTAGGTAGCCTTTTGCTACCAGGATTTAAATAAGGAACCATGATTCTGAATGACACGCCCACAGAAACTTATTAAAGTTTTAGGGCCCATAGAGTTGGTCTTAACTCAGCTAGACGCAGCCCCGGCTGGTGATTTGTAGTTTTAGAAGCAACACTTGAGCGTTGCCTGTTCCCTTTTAGATCTCCCTGCTGTGGCACATCGTAGCTCGTGGATTTGCTCTTCTGGCCATCCCAGTCGCGCTGTATCTCTCGTTTTTCTACATCCACTTGCTTTTGCTGTACCGTTCCGGGCCCCACGACCAAATCATGAGCAGCGCTTTCCAAGCCAGCTTAGAGGTGAGGCCAAGTTGCATCCAGGGCTGTTTTGGAAGAAAGGGAGAGCTTTGGGGGTCTTTTTTTTTTCCCAGAACAGTTGAAGACGTTAGGCGTAAATAACTGGTGGAGAGGAATTCGAGTAGGAGATGGGATTTGCTGGAGGGGCAGAAGATTTTGAAAGAGGTTGGATAAATTTACAGACGGTTGAGTTCTCAGGTTTGGAAGTCGCATGCTGTGTTTCCTGCAGAAACTCAGTGCCAACAGGCTTTAATCTGTGCAGGGCAGTTTTGCAGAAAAGCATTGTCTCTTCCGTCCCCCTCTCTTACTGGTGAACCTCCCAAAGATACCTTCTTGACCTGGGCAAGGCCAATTGCTAGATTATTGGGGCTTCTTCTAGCTAGCTGACTTGCAGACCCTCTTAATTTATTTATTCATTCCATTTGTATAGCCGCCCGTCTCACCTTCGTGACCCCAGGGGGCTCCCAGCAATAAAAGCGGTGTCCAAACAGCAAACCCGATAACTGACCAGCCATCAATAAAAACAGAGAAATAACCATAATCCACGGCCGATGGGAGGTGTGACTTGGCTAGCTTTACACAATGTATGAAATGTGGGTCCGCTGGGGTGTTCCCTATGCATGAGATGCCCAAGCAGATAACCCCGTTGTGGCTTAATGCGATGGCTTGAGTTAACACGATGGCTTTGCACCCTGCATTCAGAGAGAAAGGGTGGGGTTCCCATCCCAGCTTCATTGCTCTAGTTGGACATTTCAGCATGGTGCTACAATTTTAGGCTGATGGTATATAAAAAACACATATATCCATATTCATACATACATACATACCTACATACATGTATGTATGTATGTATGTATGAATATGGATATATGTGTTTTACATACCATCAGGCTTCATTTATTTGGGCTCCAAGATCACCGCAGACGGAGACTGCAGCCATGAAATTAAAAGAGGCTTGCTCCTTGGGAGGAAAGCTATGGCAAACCTAGACAGCATACTAAAAAGCAGAGATGTCACCTTGTAGA